TCATACTTGTCTTTACAAATGTTATTTGTAAACAACAACAACAACAACAAAACAGAACATGGACTTCAGACAGTGTTGCTATAGCCTATAAAATGTCACTGTCTGTAGACATAGACATAGACACAGACATAGAAATAGATATAGATAGATACAGATACAGATATAGACATAGACACAGAGATATATAGACATAGACAGATATAGATACAGATACATAGACATAGACACAGATATAGATACAGACATAGATATACAAGTCTTGTTGTTTGTCAAAAAAGAAAGTTTGGATTTTCCTTTTCTCCCCTCATATAATCTCATGACTCCCCTTGAATTTTATATTCAAAGACTTTGAGAGATTTATTTAAAATAGCAAGTGCTATTTTTTCCATACACTTACTTTCAACTGTGTGTGCCCTTATGCTTTAATTGTGACTAAATCCAAATGCTATTTTCTGTTTTTTAACTGGCAAGTTTAATACATTAATATTTATTAAGCATACTGATATATTAAAATTGTTGTTGTCATCTAATTTTTGCTTTCTATTTATCTCACTTGGATTCCTTCTTCTCCTTTCTTGCTTTTTTTAATTGATAGTTTTCTTGTCCTCTTCTATGAGTTTGAAAATAATATATCCTATTTCTATTATTTTATTTTGTCAGAAAAAATTATTAGTATATATGATATATATGAATGACTTCTAATTATGTACCTATAATTCTATCCTTCATGTCAAATATAACCTTTCTTTTATATTTTTCACTTCTTTATCTCTCTAAGCTACATTTTAGGTAATTTTTGGAAGATCTACCTTCCAACTCATAATTCTGTTTAGTTTGTCTGATCTGCTATTTAACTCACCTATGGAATTTTAGATTTCAATAACTGTATTTTTCATTTCTAGAAGTTCTTATGATCCTTTTTCAAATCTTTCTGGTTTGTCTTGATATTATCTTATTTTTTCTCATATTTTTTATTCTTCCATGTATTTAATGATTCAAATATGCTTTGTAGTCTCTGTTAGTTCTATTATTTGAAATTTGTAGGAGTCTGCTGCAATTAGATTCTGACTCATTAATGGTGTGCTGGTATCTTGGGTAATTTGGATTATGAACTAATCTTCAGGGAACTTTATCTTGGGGAAGAGAGGGAGTCTGAGTTGAGATGTATCTTCAAGAAAGGCTTTTTGCATGTTTGTTTGTTTCTGCCAGGCTTCTTACAGAACATTACTAACTTAAGACCATTTGTTAAAATATAGTTTTCCCCAAGAATTCCAATATTATGGAGGTAGCATAAATTCAATCTCCTAAACCTTTTTAAGGCAGGCTGTAGATTCCAATTCTTTTTTAAAATAATATATTCTACTGATTATGCTATTACACTTGTCCCATTTTCCTCCTTTTATTGTCCTCCCTGCACACCCCCTCCTACCCACATCCCCCATCCCCAAAGTTCATGTCCATGGGTCATACATATAAGTTCTTTGGCTTCTACATTTCCTATACCATTCTTAACCTCTCCCTGTCTATTTTCTACCTACCTTTTATGCTACTTATTCTCTGTACCTTTTCCCCCTCTCTCCCCCTCCCGCTCTCCTGTTGAGAGATCTCCTCCATGTGATCTCCATTTCTGTGATTCCGTTCCTATTCTAGTTGTTTGCTTAGTTTGTTTTTCATTTTGGTTTGGGTGTGTGTTAATAACTGTGACTTTGCTGTCATTTTACTGTACATATTTTTTATCTTCTTTTTCTTAGATAAGTCCCCTTAACATTTCATATAATAAGGGCTTGGTAATGATGAACTCCTTTAACTTGATCTTATCTGAGAAGCACTTTATCTGTCCTTCCATTCTAAATGAAAGCTTTGCTGGATAAAGCAATCTTGAATGTAGGTCCTTGTCTTTCATGACTTGGGATACTTCTTTCCAGCTCCTTCTTGCCTGTAAGGTCTCTTTTGAGAAATCAGCTGACAGTCTGATGGGAACTCCTTTGTAGGTAACTGTCTCCTTTTCTCTTGCTGCTTTTAAGATTATCTCCTTATCTTTAATCTTGGGTAATGTCATTATGATGCTCCTTGGTGTGTTCCTCCTTGGGTCCAACTTCTTTGGGACTCTCTGAGCTTCCTGGACTTCCTGGAAGTCTCTTTCCTTTGCCAGATTGGAAAAGTTCTCCTTTATTATTTGCTCAAATAAGTTTTCAATTTCTTGCTCTTCCTCTTTCCCTTCTGGTACCCCTATGATTTGGATGTTGGAACATGTAAAGATGTTCTGGAGGTTCCTAAGTCTCTCTGGATTTTTTTGAATTCTTGTTTCTTCATTCTGTTCTGGTTGAATGTTTCTTTCTTTCTTCTGCTCCAAACCATTGATTTGAGTCCTGGTTTCCTTCCTGTCACTGTTGGATCCCTGTACATTTTCCTTTATTTCATTCAGCGTAGCCTTCATTTTTTCATCTAATTTGCGACCAAATTCAACCAATTCTGTGAGCATCCTGATTACCAGTGTTATAAACTGTGCATCTGATAGGCTGGCTATCTCTTCCTCACTTAGTTGCATTTTTTCTGGAGCTTTGATCTCTTTCCTTTGGGCCATTTTTTTTTTTTTTTTGTCTTGGCTCATCTGAGCCACAAAAGGTTAAGTGCCTAAGGCAGGTTTCCCTGAAAGGACTGATACGCCTGACTGACTCAGAATGTGCAGGTAAAAATGCTGGAATAACTCATCCCAGTGTAAAAGGTCTATCCACATCCACACAACTGCAGTTCCTTAGAAGAAAGTAGGTTCTCGGTGGAAGGGATCACAGATCTTTTCTTTCCAAGTTTTCCTGTAGTTCCCAATTCTCAAGGGATATCCTTTTTCTCCTATCTGGAGTCCAAACCCAAACAGAGAAGCCTCCATGTCTTACATTTTACTCTATATTTTCTCCCTTGATAATACCTTCTGAAATGAAACCTTGAGTTGTTTCTGTCAGTGATTCCAAGGTTTTACATATCCCAGATTCTCTTCTGAGTTCCAGACCCTAGCATCCAACTACCTACTTGAATGTCTAAGGTACCACCTCAAATTCAATTAGTTTAAGATCAATAAAATTCATGACCTTCCCTTCAAAAGTAGTTCCCTTCTAGTGTTCTCTATTTCAGTTAATGGTGTGACTACTCATAGAGTTTGTTCATTCCACAAATCAGGAGTCATTCTTGACATCTCTCTTCTCATCACCTGACCCAACCTATCACCAACCCCTATCAATTTTACCTCTTAAATATCTCTTAAATCTACCCATTCTCCCCATCTTCACTGCTTTCAGACTAGTTTAAGCTGCCATCATCTTCACTCTGCTGGTTCCCCACATTCATTCCTCCAGTACATTCTCCATGATGAGTGAATTCAAACACAAATTGGATTGTTTCTCTTTTGCTTTACATTCATGGCTCTTAAGACTTTAATATGGTCTACTTGGCTTTGTGAGACCAAGGCTGCCTTCCTCTTGGACCCAGACTCATGCAATTCTCTTCTTCCCACTCTCACTTTCTATACTCCAGACACACTGGCCCTCACAGTGTTACTTAAAACCATAGCCCTCCATCTTCCCACATAGCTCTGATACAAGCTCTTTCTTTTTCCTGGAATGCCAATTCCCCTACCCCAAACTTGGTCTAGTCAACACTTAACTCATCCTTTATTTCTTTGTTCAAACATCATTTCTTCAGTTTTCATCCCTTCTTTCAAAGTCTTTATGTTAGTTCATAACCGCATATTCATTACTGTAAATGTTTGCTTGATGTCTGTTTCCCTCACTGTTTTATGAGATCAGGGACCTTGTCTAGTTCTGTTCAGGAGTATACCCTGAGTTTTGGGATGGCCATAACACAAAGACTGCTTAGTAAGTATTTCTCGAATGAATAAATGATCACTAAAATATATATGTATTCAAATAATCTCAAAGGAGAGATGAAGGGAACAGAATTATGGACAAAACTAGTGACAACTATATTGAGATCCATTATATTATTCTATCTACTTTTCCATACATTTGAAATTTTCCATAAAAAGATTATTCAATTTACTAAATCAAAATACTTAATTTGAGTTTAATAAGTGGTGAATTTAATATTAAAAATAGGTATCACCTCTTTAGGAAATGTTTTGGAACTGCCCTGCCCAGTTTCAGAAACTGTAACCTGCCATGGTTAAGGCTGAGTAAAAAGACCTTGGGACCATGAGCCACTTAGGGACCATAAGCCCCTTTAGAGGGGAGCCACCTCTGTCTGCTTTACTTCACCCTGCTTCGCCCCGGGCAGATGACTGGTTAGCCAATGATAGGTAAGATTCCTCAAGGGGAGATGACCCAAGACAGGCATAGTGGTAAAGGGGCCCTCAGGGAAGGACTTGAGGGGCTACAGAAAAAGGGGATGATGGACTCCTGCCCCTCAGCTTTGATATAGCCTGAGTCCTCATTCTGTCTGCAAGAAGTCTCCTAATCTCTTGGCTGCTTTACTTCCCCTGCCTGACTTAAGCCTGAAACAATGCTGGAGGTGGGTGCAGCCCTGTGCTGGAAAGGGCAGGTTTTCCCTAGGGTGATCAGACCTAAGAAAGAATGTGTAAAATCCTATGAAATCTACTTTGCTAATACTCTCAATTTAAATGATAAGGGTCCAAGCATGAAGTGAGTTTGTTCCCCAAAGTTTTATGGCCATTTAACTATCTGACCCTGACTCAGAATAAGCCCTCAGAGTTCTTTGAATGTTATCTATTGTTTAATCATTTCTGCCTGACAATGACTGATGAGTTTTACATATATGCCCTGTATTCCTATGCAAATTAAACCCAATAAAAGCCCATTGAGGAACAGGCTCTTGGCCCTACTCCTTTGAGAGATCAGCCACCTTTCCTCCCCAAGCAGATCATATCTTGGTAGACTTATTCTCATCCGTGGCAGCTGGTGGGACCCTGTGGGCAGAGCCCCCCACCACAGAAATGAATATTTTATTAACTATGAAGAAATTATACTGACCTGAAAATATTTCGGTAATGATTAATTGGACCACTTAATGCTCCAGGCTGGGAAAATACATAAATATGAGCTTCAAGATCTTCTGTTGTTAATCGAAATCCTTTTCTTCCAATGCCAGTGCTATGGCTGGTAAACAGGTGTTTCAAAGCCTAATATAAGTGAAAGAGAATAATTAAAACTTGTTTGTTACCTAATGATACACTAAATCTTTGGCTTTTGAAAGAGAATGATGGTCAATGTGCGTTGACAACTCATTCCTGTTCAGTAGAGGTTGAAGACCTCACTGGTTACAAACACATTTTACAGATTTCTGCTTTACTGGCTTTACTTCTCGTGTTCCCTTCTAATACCCCATGCACACTTCACCTTTTTGAAAAGTGTCCTGTCTTCTTGGTGCCCATTCGCATTCTACAAGGCCAACCTCAACTACTATCCCAACCCCGAAGTCTTCCTCAACACTCCAGCTAACTGTGGTTCACCCGTTTACGGACAACAAGTTCTCCCCCCAATTGTATGAACTTTTTTTTATTACCGCCCAGAGTAACAAACATATTTTACATCTTGATCCAGGTCATCCTTTTAAATATATATCTCTGAAACAAAAGTTTTAAAGAAGTATTTCTTACTCTCATTATACTGTGCACTGCTATTGTCAATTCAATTCTGTTCTACTTTATTTTTAAAAATTCAAACTGCAAGCTACTAAATTGACTTCATGACTCACTAATGGCTTCCCCATCTTCAACTTGAAAAACACTGCTCTGTACAAGCATTTCTGAAAGTATGCATCTAAACCATCTGCATCAGGATTATTGGGATTCTTGTTCAAAATGCAGATCCTTTAACCCAAAACACACTTAAAAAATATGAAATGACATATGTATGAGGTGATTAACTGTAACATTGTAGTAAAAAAAAGACTGGAAACAAATCCAATGTCCATCAATGGGAGATTAGTTGAATAAACTATGGTTTAGCCACACAGTGGTGCATTATATGTTCTTAGTACTTCAAAAAAGGGTAAAGGTAACCTAAATGCTGAAATGAAGTGATCTCCAGAAAATATTAAGAGGGAAAAAAAACAAGAGTGGGAAACAGTGTTTATAGGATATTACCTTTTGTGTAATAAGAGGGAGATAAATATATATATTAATATATAAATAATATATTAGAATTAATATAACACAATATATTATTGCTTATATATTAATAAATTAATAACCAATTGATATATTAATTGTGTTGATAATATATGAAATACATATTAAAGATTTTATTTATTTATTTTTAGAGGGGGAAAGGAGGAAGAAAGTGAGGGAGAGAAACACCAATGTGTGGTTGCCTCTGGAGTGCCCCCTACTGGGGACCTGGCACACAGCCCAGGCGTTTGTCCTAGACTGATAATCAAATCCACTGAGCCACACCAACCAGAGCATTTGCTTATATTTTAAAAAGAAAAAAGAAAAAGGTGAAACAAAAACTAATGAAATTTTTTTTTGTGAGACAGGGAAGAAATAGAGAAGACAGAGGAAATAAATACGTAAGTGGACCTCTCTGAATGTACATTGTTTTAGAGTTTTGACTTGAAACCACATCAATGTTTCATATAAAATCATAGAAGTTAAGTAATAACACTGCAGTCATAAATTTGCTTTGGAAATATGAGTAAGAACTCATGATTGTGTGTACAAATTTGGTCCAATGGAAAGATCTAGAACAATGAAAAGATCTAGTAAAATAACAATCACCTGGATACCCAGAGTATGGCCTCTAAATACCATTTTCTATTAAAAGGAGCCAAAGTTCCTTTCCTAAATGAATGGTTCCAGATGTAGGGAAGAAAATGAGAGATAAACCTAGGTCATTAAAGAAGCAATCTATCACTGACAAAAGGGCTTTTGTCAAAAGGACACAAGAGCCAACCTGAAAGAGTTTCCACTTTCCTAATATGAGATGATTTGGGCACCAAAGAGAATAATGACTGTAATTGATGAGTACATATTAAATATTAAAAAAACACTTCATGAGCTCACAATGATATGAAAAAAAAACCCTCATTTCTAAAGCACCAACTCATTACTCTGGAAAGTTGCTTAACAGAAGAAAAGAAGAAGCATTTATCCTAACATTCTTGTGTGAACTGTATTTCAGAATAACCAAATAGTACATGAGCAAAATTCTTCTTTATAGAAGAATTCCAGTTAATAAAAGCAGAAAGAATGATACAATTTGAAAATCACCATTTTGCAAACCCTAATGAAATAATGGGCCTAACCAATGATAATGAAGTTGTGCTAAAATTATTTGGTGAAAGGTTGTTAGGAAGTTTTTGGACAGGCATGCCTACTTTGTGTTAGGGTTTTGTTTACCTCCCAGGGCTTCTGCTTCTGCTGCTGTCCAACTCTCTCCCCTGGCATTCCTGTTCCCTTATCTCCCCATGGAATGTTCTCTAATAAGAGGTATGCCTGGGGGAACAGGCTCTCAAAACAACTGAACAACAGCGAGGCACTCACATATACAAACACAGATTTTAAAAATAAGTAAGCCTATAGATGAAGCCTTAGAAGCATTTATTAAGTTTTAGTATTTGTCTATTTTTCTTTCTTAAGTACGGACTTTAATTTAAAATAGTTCCTTTTTTGCATAGGAGGAAATGCCTAACACAGTGCATAGCATATAACAGATGTACAATAAATAAGTTTAGAACAAAACAAAACAAAAACATAAGTGGATCAGTTCTTTTCTTTTTTTAGTGCTTCAGTCTGTATTTTTAACTTCCTAATTTTGTCATTCTCTTGGGGCACCAGCCTTTTTTTTTTAAAATTGAGATATAACTGACTTATAACATTAGTATTAGTTTCAAGAGTTTAGCATAATGATTTGGTATTGTATACATTGCAAAATGATCACCACAATAAGTACTGGTTAACATCCATCAACTATGTTTGACTTACCTTGAAATCATTTATTGAGAACATAAATTCTGGGAACCATGGTATTTGGAAGAAGTAATAATAGCCGGATTTGAATAGCTGAGCAGGGTGTTGTAAAATGTACTCTGAAATTAAAATGCCATGTTAGACCTTATTCAAGGAGTATAAATCTTTGAAAGAAATTTTTTAAGGCAATTTCACCTTTGAGATAATTCCATAAAAGAATCTATAAACAGGATTTCTGTGTATTTCTCTTTGGAACAATTTCTATGTTCTTATAGTTTATTATGGGTATTTCTGGTATTTAGAAAATTTATAGCACTTTAAATAAACAGAAAGTTCCACTTGATGAAGTCCTGACTCAGAAAGGAAGAGGAAACCCAAACCCACTGCCATCCTTTAAGGTCTGACCTATAAGGTCTAACATTTTTCCTAGGGATACATAGGGAGATCATTTTCTCTTGTTCAAAAGATTTTCCTTATTGGTTGATTTGAATACCTTATCCATTTGACTTAAACAGAAAACAAAGTGTTTCCTATAAATTCACTCATGTATCCAGAGAATTCATTCATTCAATTAATATTTGAATATCTACTGTGTTTAAGGAGGTTTGGCAGTGAACAAGGCAAAAGATGTTCTCATTAACTTATAAAATAAATGACTAATAAATACTTAAAAGATCATCTTGATAGCAATAATACTATAAAGGAAACAAAACAAGGTAATCCGATTAAGAGTGACGGTTGGGTAGTATGAAGGGACAAGTATTTAGCAGATGTTGTCAGAATAGGCTTCTCTGGCCTGAGCCCTGAATGGTAAGAAGGAATCAGCCATGCAAAGATCTAAGAAGAGCATATTGGAACAGGAGTTCCTGGGTCTGGCACACTCAGGAAGCAGAAAGAGGCTAATGCGGCTGGTGTGTAGTGAATGAGGAGGGGAAGTGGCATGAAATGAGTCAGAAAGAAAAGCAGAAGCTTGATCAGATAGGGCCAAACGATAAGGATTTAAAGTGCCTTGGGAAGACACTCAAGTTTTAAACTGAAAAGTAATGAAATCATACATATTAAATGTGTATATTCTCAGGTAAGTGGAGCATTGTCATCATTGGGCAAGATTTTTCAGCCTGCATTAAAAAATATGCTGGCTGAAATACATATTAGAGATAAAATATAGGCACATTACTTAAAGACCCCATTTTGACCTGACTCAAGTTGAACCTATTACTGATAAAATAGTTTCAGAAATATTCCAAGTATGCTTTTGCTGAAATGACAAGCTGCAGTTTGTCCAAAATAGCATTTACTCTGTGGTCCTGATCAATTGAGCAAGCATGTAGCATGACTTCTGCTGACTAATGGAACTGAGAAAAACATGATGTTTCTCAGTGTGATATTTGAATCCTAAACATCCATCCTATTGCCTCAACAGAGATAGGTCAGATGGATATGTATCTAAAATTAAACTCTTACACTTATAATATTTAGGCATTCACAGTCCCTTTCTCCTTCAATTGCTCAATTTTGAGGAAGAAACAGTAAAATGTTGTTTTGAATTTTTTTCCCCTGCTGCTGTGGGTTGTAACAGTACCTGAACCCCAGAAAACATGACAAAGCTAGTTAAAGAGGACAAAATTATAATTTATGCCAAAACCAAATAAAAATGTTCCTGCCCATTGTTCACAGGCTTTTAATTACTTTTAAGATTTTATAAATTCCCTTTATAGAAGAGGTTCTCAAAGTATAGTCCATGTACTCCCCTGGGGATCCCAAGGACCTTTTTAAAGAATCTGTATTGTCAAAACTATTTCATAGGAAAAAATAAGACATTGTTAGCTTTTCTCATTTGTTTGACATTTGCATGGATGGCACAAAAGCAATGGTAGATAAAACCATTAGCTGCCTGGGCACAAACCAAGGCAGCAACACGAAACAATGCTGGTAGCCACCACATTCTTCACTGGTGCACACATGCACTAAACAAATACATACATCAAACTAAATACCAGTTTCACTAAATAACATCCTTGATGAGACAGCAAAAATTATGTTTATTCTATTTCAACCTTTGAGTGCAGGTCTTTTACATTGCAATGAAATAGAAAGTACACATAAAGCACTCTTGCACACTCAAAGACAATAGTTGTCTTGAGGAAAAGCACTTCTGCAATTATTTTGAGTTGATAAGTTGAATTACCTGCATTTTTTAAATGGAAAACTACTTTTAGTTGAAAGGATGACTAACAAACTATCACCAGTCCGACCTGGATATCTGGCAGATAGACTCTTGAAAATGAACAAAACAAGGGAAATAGAACTTCCAGCCAAGATGGAAGTGTAGGTAGATATGCTTCATTTCCTTGTACAACCAAAAAAAAGGATAACAACCAATTTAAAAACAAAAAACAACCAGAACTGCCAGAAAATCAAATATATGGAAACCCAACTATCAAAGTGTTGAAGAAGAAACATTCATTAGACTGGTAGGAGGGGTGGAGATGGGCAGTCAGGGTGCAGAGGACATGCAGCAAGGCAGCAAGGTGGCAATGGTGGACTAGGTGGGTGAGGAGGCAGCTGGTGGGCTGAGTGGTCCCACATTCTCATGTAGATAAAACAGGAGAAGCAATGGGGGACAGACTATGCAACCCAGGGATTCAGCTCCAGGAAATAAAGCCTCAAAACCTCTGGCTGTAAAAACCTATGGGGGTTGTGGTGGCAGGAGAAAGTGCCAGTCTCACAGGAGAGTCCTTTGGAGGGGTTCTTGGGGTCTTAGATCATACACAAGCCCACCCACTGGGGAAATCAGCATCAAGGCAGCACTTGGAGGGGTGAAAATCATTTGTGGGATGTATGAGAAGTGACTGAAAGCTGAGTGAGAGCTGAGCAAGCAGCATTGTTCCCTCTCTGACCCCTCCCCCATATACTGCACCAAAATGCTGAAAAGTAGGTGGCCCTGCCCTGGTGAGTACCAAAGGCTTTGCCCCTTACAATGTAACAGGTGCTTTGAGACAAAGAAATATGGCCCAAATGAAAGAACAGATCAAAATGCCAGAAAGAGAACTAAGCAACAAGTAGATAGCCAACCTATCAGATGCAGAGTTCAAAACACTGGTAATCAGGATGCTCAAAGAACTGATCAAGTACAGCTGTAAAATAAAGGAAGAAGTAAAGGCTATACAAAGTGAAATAAAGCAAAATATACAGGGAACCAAGAGTGTAGGGAAGGACTGGGACTCAAATCAATGATTTGGACGAGAAGGAAGAAATAAACATTCAACTGGAACAGAATGAAGGAACAAGATTTCAAAAAAATGGGGAGAGGCTTAGGAACCTGAGGGACAACTTTAAATGTTCCAACATTGGAATCACAGGGGTGCCAGAAGGAGAAGAGGAAGAACAAGAAGTTGAAAACTTATTGGAAAAATAATGAAAGAAAACGTCTCCAATTTGGCAAAGGAAACAGACATACATGTCCAGAAAGTTCATAGTCCCAAACAAGATGGACCCAAAGAGGAACACACTAAGACACATCATAATTAAATTGTCAAATATTAAAGGTAAGGAGATAATCTTGAAAGCAGCAAGAGAAAAGGAGAGTTACCTACAAAGGAGTTCCCATAAGACTATAAGCTGATTTTTCAAAAGAAACCTTGCAGGCAAGAATGGGCTGGAAGGAAGTATTCCAAGTCATGAAAGACAAGGGCCTACATCCAAGATTGCTCTATCCAGCAAAGCTATCATTTAGAATGGAAGGGCAGATAAAGTACTTCCCAGATAAGGTCAAGTTCAAGGAGTTCATCATCACCAAGCCCTTATTATATGAAATGTTAAAGAAACTTATCTTCTCCCTGGCTGGCATAGCTCAGTGGATTGAGCACAGGCTTCGAACCAAAGTGTCACAGGTTTGATTCCCAGACAGGGTACATGCCTGGGTTGCAGACCATGACCCCCAGCAACCACACATTGATGTTTTTCTCTCTCTCTCTTTCTCCCTCCCTTCCCTCTCTAAAAAAAAAATAAAAAAAATAAATAAAATTAAAAAAAGATTCCTCCCTTTTCCAATTACAAATCTTTGAAGATTTCTTCATATACTTCCATTTAAACAACATGTTGCAACAGATTGAATGCAAAAGCAGATATGAAAATTTAGCTGACTTCTATTAAGTCAAAATTAAAGAGGTTTGCAAATATTGTAGACAATGACACTATTTTCAGTAAAATTTTGTTTTGAAAGATGTATCTAGTTTTCATTAAAATGTTGTGTTAACATGTACTGAAGTTATTATTTTTTGATAAATTAATACATATATTTAAAAAATTCTCATTTAAAATTTCCAATACAGTGAATATTTATAGATATAGCTCATATAAACAAAAGCTCAATGGGTCTATAATAATTTTTAAGATATAAAGGAGTTCCAAGAGTAAAAATTTGAAACCTACTACTTTAAAAAATACTGTCATTTTTTGATAGCCAAAGCTGTCAGGCCAGAGGAAAAATTTATTTCTAGGCTGTCAAAACTTATTGCCATCAAAGTAATGTCACTGCATTTCCCCCCTTTATCCCTTTAACCCAAAGTTAACAGTAAAATGTTTTCTAAAAATAAATGAAATTATGCAAGTAAATACGAAGTGACTGTTTCTTAGACTCTTTAAATATTAAGTGTTTATAGCACACTTTCATGTGTTAATATCATATTTTAGTCATTTAATTTTAAAAATATTATGTTAATCAAATTTTGCTGTTTGTAATCCAAAGTGTCAGGAACAATAGTGAATTGTCATGTTGGCAGAGATACTTTAATGAAACTTTAAACTCACCTGTAAATACATTTGGATGAGGGAAGTTAATGACAATGAGCTTCATCACCATTTCCGGATAACAGATGGCAATCAGCCAAGCAATCATGCCGCCCCAGTCATGGCCAATAAGAACACATTTGCTATAGCCTGTAATCAAGAAATAAATGCTGACATTGAAAAGAAACAGGTGGGTACATCACTGACTCACATAAAATAGGTACACTTCTGACGCTAATCTTTCCACTCTTCTACCTTAATTATGCAGTTTGTACAGACACTGAATTTGGTATTGTTAAAACTCGTATGTCCAAATCACCTAGGTAGCTTTTTAGAAAATTCAGATGCCCAGGCTCCACTCTAGACATGCAAATTCAAAATGTGTCCCAGGAATGAATATATACTCACACATACACACACATCTGAAATAGTTTGGAAACCATGATTAAGACTGCATAAGTAGGTCATAAGCAAGAGTAATTTGAGTTATTTTTGAATGCTGGAAAATTTTTAGTTACAGTAAAATTGTAAATGTCTTATCTATGTCCAACTGGTAAATCTTTATTTCAAAAACCATCTATTTTCTCCCTAATGTCACAAATTCAATGTTACAATTCAACACAGTGAAATATCAGTAATTTTTTTTTATCCTCATCCAAGGACATTTTTTTCACTGCTTTTAGAGAGAGGAATGGAGAAAGAGAGAAAGGAGAGAGAGAGAGAGAAACATCAATGTAAGAGAAAATATTTACTAGTTTTTTTCCTGTAGGTGCCCTGACTGGGGGTTGAACCTGAAACCTAGGTATGTGCCCTGAATGAGGATCGAACCTGTACCTTTTCAGTTTATGGCATGACACTTCAACCAACTGAGCCACACTGGCCAGGAATAAAACATCACTAATTTGGAACTGTAAAGTCAAAGTGACTTAGTGGAAAGTCTTAATTACAGTACCAATTATAAACAAGTTTCATTTCATGTAATCAGTATGGTAATTTAAGTTAGGTTAAAATATTGATTAGTACTGATTCCTACAGGATTTCCTTTGTATGGATAGATAAGATTGATTTGTAATTTATTTCTACAGTACTTAAAATTAATTTTTTCAAGTAAGTATTTTTCACCATAATCCCACCACTACACACACACACACACAGAAACATCTAGTTTATATATTAATTTGCCTAGAAAATTGCATGATAAATTTAGGCCAGGTCTGGCTGAATTACCACAAAATGAAAAATGAATGAAAAATGGCTGTTGGAAATTAGTGTCACTGAGTCTATTTTATTGTAATCAGACTAAATGACAACACTGCACTGACACCCCCAGACTCATCCATTTTTTTCTCCTCTAAGAATATTGACCTGATGTATGCTTTCATTAGATTGTTATAGAAAGGGACTTTAATTTGACTTCATGGATTTCTCACTGGCTCCATTACATACCAGTGGTATAGCTGGGTTTCAGTCAGAAGGGATGTAGTGAATTAGACTGTTGTTAAAAAAGCATTTACTCTCCCCTTTTCCCCACTGCCATAGAAGGAGTGTACTTTGCTGCCCCTTTGATGTTAGCCTAGACCATGTGATTTGCTTTGCTCTTGCAATGGGTATATGACTAGATCATGGGCTCAGCCATACGACTTGCTCTGGCAAGTGGGCTGCTAGTAAAGACCTAAAACATGTGTATGCAGCTGAGCTCACACTCTTGCCATTTCTGCCACTGCCAGGAAAAGAGCTTCCCTCAGGTAGCTTCTCCCCTTTAGCTTGGGTTCTAACCCAGCTCACAGTGGGAAGCCAGTCCCAGCTACAACTACAGGCCAGCCTGAGGAAAAAACCTAGAAGTGTCCAGCCTACAGTTGGTCTGTAGATTTATGAGCATAAGAATAAATGTGTATGGCTATATGCCATTGAGTATGGGGTAGTTTGTTATCTAATATTACTGTGGCACTAACTGATCAATACAAGAAAGATAATGCAAATGCTATTGCACCTTGTAACATTTTGAAATAAATATTTAGATGTGTTTTCTGAAGACAAATTTTCTGAGTATAAGACTCAAATTTCCAATAATTAGTTCTGAAATTAATAAATAGTAACATTTGCTCTATTTTTAAAAACAAGTTTTCAAAGTCATTCTTGGCTGGTGGACTGAACAATTATTCTGGATGTATTATTTTAAATGTCCTGTATTTATTAGTATTTTGGTCTATATTCCCGAAACCATGGTGACAGAATCCAGAAAATAACTTGAGAAATGCATCCTCTCAAGAAATGTTATCAGTTCACAATGTCTTGAATGTTAGTCCTTTAAAATAATTAATATTGTTTTTTAATGTAACCTACCTAAAGAGTCTAAAATATCTCTTATATCTGTAATTAGACAGTCCAATTTATAATTCTCTCGATGAATGGGAGCATCTGTTTCGCCATAGCCTCTCAAATCCAGTGCTACAACTCGGTATTCACTTTTAAATTCCCTTAGCTGATGACGCCAAGAATACCTGCAGGATATAGGAAACATTAAAAATACCACAGTAACCAATACAAATAGCAATATTACAGATATTCTAAGTGGAAAACTATAAGAAACTCCTTGTTTTGAGAAAGGCTGTAGAGCTGAGCACAAACAGAAAAGAATTGTTTGAGAAGAGAGCACTGACATTCCTTATTAAAATTATTTTATTTCTTTTTACCAGCTCCAGTGAGGTGTAACAAAAGGCCAGTATCTACAAAAACTACAAAATATCAGGCACTAAAATCAATATATATTTTATGTACTTAATGAATCAATTTTCTATAATTTGTGCAGCTATCAGGGAATCTATATCTACAAATGCTTCTGTATTGCAGAACCATTTGATTCTCTAAAAAAAACTTATGAAATGAAAACTTATTCCCCTGAAAAAGTAGATTTGACTCATCTTACTCCACTGTCAAACAGGGTTCAGTGTTTTTTTAGTAATAACATTTTGCTTATGAATGAAAAAAATCTGTAGATTACAGAAAGGTTATGACTTAAAGAATCCAATAAAACAAATGGTTAATACAAACCCCTTCTTGCTAAAACAAAATTCTCCTGTGGGAAAGATCCTACACCATGAATACAAGCAAGCATGATAGTAAAAACACGAAACGACCAAAATGGCACTGGCGCTGACCAATTAAAATGTCCATATGCGATTCATCTCCACTCCGAGCTGACTTCTCTGGGCGGGTTTCCCCCAGCTCCTCACTTCATATATCATTCAATATTCAGCAACTCTTACAAACCGTAGGGGCATGCAGAGCACATGGTGCAGCAGCTATTCTGTAGTAGTCCATCAACTATTGGTTTATTGGTTTATAAAATAGAAGATAAGAAGGCACAACTGTAACTGCTATAATGAGGATAATGCAATGTCAGCAAGAGACACCCAGGAGGCAAAATACAGACAATGAAAGAATTAAAAGAGGTTGAAAAGGCCAAACTGCATGCCAGATTCCCAAAAATTCAAGGCAATTTGTGACTCTAAAAGAGTGGCTTAAACTGCCTTCATGCTACATAGGAAGTGAATTTTGTAAAAGGAGCAGAAACAGAGTCATGCTTTCTTTAAAACAAAACAAAACAAAACAAAAAACAAAACAAAACATCTCTACGGTCTCAGGAGGGAAATAATCCAAGTCCCAAGGAGACCAACTCTGAAGGGCACTTTTCTTCCTTGAACCTCAGTCAGGAGGTAGAAAGTAATGAGGAGCAAGATGTGGTTTTAGCAACCAAGGAGCATACACCCTGATCCTTGGCTGGTAAAAGAGGACACAAAAGAAGGTTGCTTCAGAGGAAGCCATCTGCCAGCAGGAATCATTCAGGGTGAGAACCAAGGAAGGCACTCGAGAATTTTTCTGTATCTAAGAAAAAAAGAAAAAAAGCACCTGCAATAAACTTCACTTAAGTTTTGGAGAAAAAAATGTCCATATAGCTATAGCTGAGTCCTGGAGGCCTCTGCTGGGCCAGGCTTTCCCCTTGTGTTTGATCATGGAATAGGAGATTTAATTTAGATACAGAGATCCATGAGATTTTCTTCTTCAAATAAGCAAAGTGATTTTGGATAACAAACAGAAAAAAAGACATAGCTTTTTCAAACTGATTTATTATGTTATGGAATGCAAAATATGTTGGGAACTGCCCTGCCTGGTTTCAGAAGCTGTAACCCCCCATGGCTAAGGCTGAGTAAGAGACTTTGGGATCATAAACCACTAAGGAGACAAAGCTTGTCTACCTGGGAGGGGTGCTGCCTCTGCCCTCTTTTCCTTTATCCTGCTTGGCCCCAGGTGGATGACCAGTTAGCCAATGACAGGTAAGATTCCTCAAGGGAGGGAAGACTTAAGACTGGCATGGTCATGAAGGGGCCCCTCAGGGAAGGACTTGGGGAGGGCTATAGAAAAAGGGGGTAATGGGCCCTAGTCCCTGAGCTTTGACATAGCCTGAGTCCTCATTCTGTCTGCAAGAAGTCTCCTAATCTCTTGGCTGCCTTACTCCCCCTGCCTGACTTAAGCCTGAAACAATGACAGAGGGTGGTGCAGCCCTGTGCTGAAAAGGGCAGTTCCCTGGGGAAATCAGGCCTAAGAAAGAATGCATAAAATCCTGTGAAACCTGCTTTGCTAACAATATCCTCAGTTTTCTGATAAAGGTCCTAGCATGAAATGAGTTTGTTTCCCAGAGTTTTATGGCCCTTTACTAACTGACCCTGACTCAGAATAAGCCCTCAGAGTTCTCTGAATGTTATCTATTGTTTGATCCTTACTGCCTGACAATGATGAATGAAGACCTTCCTTGAGGGAATGCTCCCAGAAAAGCAATAAAAGCCTGTCCAGTCAGGGGTCAGGACGTTCTCTGTCTCAGAGAGTGGCTATGCTCTCCTTTTTTCTCCACAGGACTTCTGTAGTCCATGTGAATTTGTTCATCTCATCCATAACACCATGGACACCGCTGGTTGGAGTTTGCATCAAAAATATGCATTAAGAATTTGTGTGCACATCTGTTCATGAATACACCATGTAAAATAATCTGACATAAGCCAAATAAGCAATTATTGTCCGAAAAGATTTTCAGAGTGCAACAGGCAAGTGAACACAGTGATCTGAGACTACAAACCAACAGTGAGAGGGGACTGCAATGCAAGATGACACAGAGCAAAAGAACCAATGAAGCAAATCAACCACTTTTCATCAACAGACATTATTAGGAAGAGTGTCAGACACAGATTTGGAATTAATAATGGATCCAAAATATTTGATATATTAGTAGGTTATCTATGATTTATGAAAATCTGCAAAATCATTACCAATTAAAATGGATTTGAATATGTTAATAAAAAGTGTCTTTCTTAGGTAGGCCATAGCAATATTGCTAGTCTTGCCTCTGGGTTGTAACAAACAAATAAAGCACTTTGTTTCCTTAAAGATACTCATCTGTCAATGCATATGATATTATTTTCTCATTAGCCTTACTTAAAATTTTGAATTGATTTTTTTATGTCTTTGTCATTGAAGCCCAACTCTTCCCTGCATATAATCCATCATGCCCAATCAATAAAGTTCTGGAGACTTAACCTCTTAAATATTTATTTAATCACTTTTCTGTCCATCTCTGCATCATTGTCTTAATTCAGGACTCCATTAATGCAGCAACCTATTGATTGGTCTATGTCCATTCCCTTCAGTTCTGCCTTCTATGAAACCAAAGTGATGTAGCAAAACCACAAACTCTCGCATGTAATTTCCTGCTTAAAATATTTTCTAAACACCTTATTACTCATAATGTGAACCCAACCTCCTTCTGGCAGACAAAACCTTCAGGATTTGAGTATTACCCAATCTTCCAGCCTGATTACTTCACTCTCAGTCATTCACTATAATAAAAAGAGTTGCATCTGTATCATTCTCACAGCGTGCCTGACACAATGCTAAGTGCTTCACATATAGTAGTGTTGATCTTCAAAACAATACTATGAAGCAGGTATTATTATCATCCCCACTTTAGAGTTGAAGAAACATAGGCACAGAGAGGTTAATTGAAGTACCAAAGTTCACAGAATTAGCAAATAGCAGAGAGCAAGATTCAAATCCTGCTGCTTCTGGGGCACTAAGTTACTTGTAGTAAAGAAACACAGCACTGGTTTTTTACTTTTATAGCTTTGTTCCTATGATCGCCTTTGTCTGAAACATTATCCCTCCCCATCATATCCCTACTCCCCCAAATCCTAACCTTCATGCTCACAGAACTCCTCTTCACACTGTACATCTCCCCTTCTAGGAGGCTTCCCAGGCTTCCTCCTTTACAGGCAGGCTGGGTTGCTCCCTTCTATCCTCTCCCACCTGTACATACAGTCTTCAGTATACTGGCCATGTGCTTTATAATGATTTGTTAGTGTCTGGTGCTTCTACTCACTTGTGAGCTCCTCAAGTTGTCTGGTGGAATATCTAGATCATGTACATGCACAACAGAGATTTGTTGAAAAAGTGAAAGAACAAACAAGTGGAAGCACTGAATCATGGTAGTACTTGAAACAAAGACAACAAAAGTCCCCAAATTCCTGTTAGGGAATTTATACTCAATTTCTGTAAAAATGTACATTTATTTTTCAATTAAAGTTTAATTTCAATATTATTTTATACTGATTTCAGGTGAACAGTATAGTGGTTAGACTATCATATACTTTATGAAGAATCCCTGCGATATTTCCAGTACCTACCTGGCACTATATATAGTTATTGTAATATTATTGACTATATTCCCTATGCTGTACTTTATATCCCCTGACTGTTTAATAACTACCAATCTGTACTTCTTAATCCCTGCCCCTTTTACCTAGTTCCTACCCCCATAAAAATGTGCATTGTTTTAATATTTTAAGTATCTGTGTCTTCATTTAGAATTCATTTAATTAGAGATTTCAAGGTAGAAGTTTGATTGAATATAATGTGTACAATCTCACAATATTTTACATTTAAAATTGTATTAGAAATTATGCAAACATAATACCTACATATTTCATTACCATAGTAATAATTTAAATTGCCTTACAAATAACTATAACATTGTCATTATCAATGAGTGGAGTCAAACAATACCTTAAGAAATAGGACAACTGTTATCTTAATACACTGCAAAAGAATAATTTTTAAATATAATCTTCCTGGAGTTCATAAATAAAGTGTATTTGATTTATACTTGAAACTGAAAAGGAAATCACACCTCTGCTAGACTGATGGGCATGTCATTCTTATGATTAAAACAAAACACCCCCTTTGATACAAGAATGAGACATATTACAAAATCAGTAACTGATAAAATATTATAAATAAACAAAACAAGCTATTTTCATCCATATTTTTTTTCAGGTAGATTTTGGTGAAACAGGGAACTCTAAAAAAGCAACCTCAGAGATTCAAGATGACAGAAGAGTAAGTGGAAGCTACACTCGCCTCCTCCCAGGACCAATCTGGAATCACAACTAAATAG